CGAGATTCAAGTATTGACTCCCGTCGTCTTCCTGCTGGTCATTATCAACATCGGCACAATGTTCAGTGCTGGCATTGATAATATCCATCATTTCCGCCTCCAGGTCATCGTCTCTCGGGTCGGCCATAGAGAGCCTAAACAATTATAAAACAATAATTATGCAATTAGGGTTTTATAGACATTTCATACACATTTCGGGGCGGTGGTGCCAGCGCGGGGCGGCCGACCAGCGTCGGTGGCCGGGGAGGGTTTAGGGTGGTTTAGGGTTTAGGGTTTAGGGTGGTTTAGTGTTTAGGGTGGTTTAGGGTTTAGGGTATAGGCCACATGGTATCAGAATATAACACAATTGATTTTTTTTCCTAAGGAAAAATTATACATGTATACATTAATTGATATATATATATACACACATTAATTTCATACATATATACATTAATTGATATATATATATACACATTTCATACATACATAATTTCATACATATATACATTAATTAATATATATATACACATTTCATACATATATAATTTCATACATATATACATTAATACACATTTCGTCAACATAATTCATAAATATAATAAATATAATATATATATATATACCGGTGGTTTAGAATTAATGGACGGCGACGGGCGGTGGTGGACAGCGACGCTGGATCGAGGCACGAGGGCTCCTGGCCGGGCGCAGCGTCGTCGGGGCTACTCCAGCGAGGTGTGGGTGGGCATCGGGATGCCCTCCGGTGAGGAATAAGGCGCGGCGTCGAGCCGGGGTGGCCTAGGAAAGCGAAATCGGTGGCAGCGTGGCGCGCGTGCGGCGTTAGGGGCAGCCAGGGGCTCCTCCTTGAGGGGCGCGGCGTCGGGGCTACTCCGGCGAGGTGGACGGGCGTCGGGGTGCCCTCCTGTGAGGAAGGCGGCGTCGGGGGTGGCTGGGAAGGCGAAATCAGCGGCGGCATGGCGCGTGCGGGGTGTCGGGGGCGGCCGGGGGCTCCTCGGTGAGGGGCGCGGCATCAGGGCTACTCCGGCGAAGTCGGCGAGCCTCAGGGTGGCCTCCGGTGAGGAAGGCGGCGTCGGGGGTGGCCGGGGAGGCGAATCGGCGGCGGCGGAGCTCTGGGGACGCGCTGAAGACGAAGACGATCAATGAGGAGGAAGAGAGAAGGGAGGCGGCGGTATATAGGAGAGGGACTTTTAGTCCCGGCTCCATCCACCGCCCGGGACTAAAGCACCTTTAGTCCCGGCTCCTGCCACCAGCCGGGACTAAAGGGGGGACCTTCAGTCCCGACTGTTGGAAGGAGCCGGGACTAAAGGATTTTTTGGCGGGCCGCCAAATGCAGCCCACCTTTAGTCCCAGCTGGTGGCAAGAGCCGGGACTAAAGGTGGGCTACATTTTCATTTCCCACAAACTTTTAAGCACATCAGTTTATTTTATATATGTTTTGTATTTAAATGTTTAAGTCTTATTATTTGCGCAGTAAATTCAATACTAGGCATAAATTTTTTAGAAAAAGTAATAAACTTTATTTTCATTTACTGCACACAAAAAAATATGTGACCTAAACTATTGTGTTTTTTATTATAAATGTTGAACATAATGCAACTAACACTCACTATTTTCGTTAATGCAAAAATGTAGACTTTAATTGAAATTATTAAATTTATTGGTTTTCGACAAGGAAATTAGTTTTCACGTAATTGTAACGTAAATCTTTAGGTTCTTCATTAATCATTGTATATTTAATCGGTGAGTTCGGGCGGAAATTCAATTAAAGTTAAAAAAGTACCAAACCACCTCAGAAAAATCTCAAACTTGGTGATGGCTACACACAGGGCATTTGTAGTCTTGAGAAAAAGTTTGAGACCAATCCAGCACTAGAAAGCACATGGACCTCAGAATCCTAGAGAACCTAGATGTGTAGATAGGGTTCGACGAAAGGTTCTATATACCTCTGTGAAGCACGTCGACTCCGCCTATGTCAAAATGGCTTAAAATTTTTTTGGCAGTCATTTACACCCAAAATATGGCCCCACACAAGATCTTAGGTTTTTTTGATAATTATTTTTATTATTACATTTTCTTTGTGCCGCGTGAGACGAAATACGGCGAATTACATATTCCAAACAATATAATTTTGCATCAACCTCCACAAATATTTGTCTCCTAGGGCACAAGAGACCATTTGGCAAAGTTTGGCACCATTCCGGATCTTTTCAGGGGTGGACTCAATTCAACGTATAATTAATCGGTGAAGTCGCGTGGAAATTCAATTAAAGTGAAAAAGTTACCAAACCAATTCAGAAAAATCTCAAACTTGGTGGTGGCTTCACACTGGGCATTTGAAACCCTGATAAAAATTATGAGATCAATCAAGCACTAGAAAGCACATGGACCAGAAAATTCAAAGTATAGTTAACAAAAGAATATAATCAATTAAAGGGTCTTTTCTCTTATTAAATAAATGTTTGGGTGCCTTCTTGTCGAGAAAGTGACTTAGTTCAGATGGCTAGCTAGTGCGTTGTGGTTTGGACCTTGGCTATGAGGTCGTGGGTTCAATGCCTGGCTGCCCCATTTTTTTGTCCAGCGCGACTATATTATTTTATCAAGAAAGATTTTATCCCGGTTATATCCCAGAGCCGGGACTAAAGGTCATCCTTTAGTCCCGGTTGGAGCCTCAAGCCGGAAGTAAAGATTTATTTCCGGTTGGAGGGTCCAGCCGAGACTAAAGGATAACCTTTAGTCTCGGCTCTGGGCTATAACCGGGACTAATTGTTGCCTACCGTCGCCACACACTTGGGGCAGAAACTTTGTATCCTTGTTTGAGGATACAACCGGGACTAATAGTCCCTTTAGTTCCGAACACAAAAATACCGGGACTAAAGGCAAAAATAGAGGCGGGATGAAAGGTCTGTTTTCTAGTAGTGAAAATAAAAAGGCATAAGTTATCCAGAACCATTGGTACTATTTTACAGGGCACATTTTAGCTCAACAGCATAGATGGTGACAATCAAAGCATATATCAAAAGGCATAAGTTATCGAGAAGCATTGGTACTATTATACTAGATAGACATTACAACTAACAAAAATCACATATGTTTGCTTTACTAATCAAATCTTAGTTTTTGCAGCAACAAGTGTATCAGGAGGCCGAAATATGAACAACTATTTAGTAAGGAGACTAAAATAAAATGTTACAGTCACAAAGTTCAAATGTTACAGTCACGAAGTTAAACAAATCAGCAAAATCTAATGCTGCAATTTTTTGTAAAAATGTTCAGCTGTTTGGAGTGGGCAAGAAACTGACTCTGCAATTGTCAATGGCCCCGTTCGCGTGCCCTTAAGCCTGGCTTGATCCGCTTCTTTTTTTATCCGGAATAGTGTTTTTCTCTCACAAATTCCTCCAGTATTCCTCCAAACCATCCAAATTCTTCCAGAATTCCTCCAGCCGAACAGTATTTTATCTGAATTCTACTAATGCTAAAGAACCACAGCATCAAAATTTAGAAAAGGTTCAGAACTGGCAGCCTAACATGGCTATTACTAATCTGGTATAGTCTAATATCGTCGATCTCCTGCTACATTGCATGAGCCACTGACTCATGTGCTACAGCTGCTCTCTAGCGAGATGATGACTATTCTGCCTCCAGGAGTGATCTAATTCAGAATGGTTGCATGTACTCTTTTTTCAACTTAGTGGACAACGTGAGATGGAACCAATAAACATGGAAAAAACTAAAATACTAATACAAAATCAATTCATCTGGATTGTTTTCTACACGATATTTATTTGTTCAGCCCATGTTAAGGCCCCATTTAGTTCAGGAAAGATCTGGTTGAAAGATCATTTTTTGCTAAAGATCATACTAACAAGTCAACATGTATGAACTTCATAGATCTGACGATTATCCTCTCAATGGACATAACCACAAGAACAGTTAAAGCTGAAACCAGACCTATTTTATAAGGCAAGCAAGAGACATCACATATCACATGTGGCTGACTTGAGAGCAATTAAATGCACCTGATTTCACATCGGCAACAACAGACTTCAGTAAACCAACCATCAATAGAACCACAAGAACAGTTTGGCAACCAAAGTGAGGTAAAAGCAAAGTGGTTTGGGAAATTGAGAGGGAGCACTTATCTCTGAGTTTGGAATCGACGGTTGGTGGCGGAGACCATTGATACAGCCTTAATTCTGCAGCAAGAGCAAACATTAAACCCAATTTTAGAGCCCAATAAAGGAACTGATATTCGAAGTTGGCAGCATCAATAGTTGATTAAATATGTATAAGACTTTTAGTGTTATTTTTTTCTCATAACCTCAAAATCAGTGGTAAACTAAGTTGTTTAGCACATGCAGCAATAATGATAATATCTTATGGCCTCAGAATCCTTTTTATTCCAATTCAAATACAAATATGATATGAATGATAACTCCGGCAAATGGTACTTGGTACCCCTATACGGCGCTAGATATCCTGTGGTTCAGATAACCCGAGTCAACAAGATAAAATTTTCCTACAAACAAAAGATAAGGCAAAATAAAAAATAGAAACAGAAATCATTGTTACCATACTTGGATATAGCGTCAAGTGTCTAACTTTTCAACCTGTTTTCATTGACAAAATAACTTTTCAGCAGCCCAATTTTATGGCATTTGGTAAATAGCACTACAAGTCATGCAGGAAATTAACGTTAACAGGCTTACTCACATGGAGGATACAGGATACAATAACATTAATCTAGTGCAGTTAGCCACATATGTGGCAAGTGACATGAACTGCGAAAGCACATGGAATGCATGACTAATAGTATCTTACATGTATGATTTCTAGCATCTGCAGGAACCAGGAATGCAAATTCCATAAAGATCAAATATCAGGACTTTACCACACTGTTTCCAATTAGACACTCAAATAAAGAATAGAAATGAGAAAAATGCCTAACATGATAACAGGTAGGATGGACCAAGAAAACACTAGCTGATATTATGGATCATCTTTCATCCAGTATGCAGCTTGGCTGAACTCCTTCAGGAGGCAGAAACACACCCCATGGGCATACAAAATGATAGGAGACCATACACAAATACAATTTACACGTACTACAGTTCTCTTACCAAAACTAGGACAATCAATTAATAAACCATATGCAAGTGGCTTTTCGTTCAGAGCTACAATTAAGCAATTCGCATGCACAACTGAACTCAAACAAAGTTCAGGTGTCCTGATCCCTGCCAGATTGATGTTATCTAAACCCTGCCATGTCCTACAGGCTGCATGAATCCAGACATCTCAAGAGGAAAGCTTAAATGATTCAGATTCATCAGCACAGCACGCAACCAAATCAGCACACAAGCTGGAACTGTGTGCGATTGAATCGACAGGATGGTAGAGGAGGGAACGTACCAGCCACTCGCGGTGCCCCTGGAGGCCTGGACACCGTCGCTGTAGAGGTTGACGGCGACGTGCTGCGGTTGGAGTCCCGGGCGGAGGCGGGCGTTGATGAAGCCCTTGTAGACGGGGCCGAAGCCACCCTCGCCGAGGAAGTTGGTGGTGAAGAAGTTCTTGGTGGCGGCCTTGAGCTCGTCCAGCGTGAAGGCGTGCAGCTTGGTGGTCTCCAGCTTCCGCGACAGGTCCTGCAACGACAGCACCGCAGGTTGGCCGTGCTCAGCCGCCGCCGCCGCCGGGGTGCCTGCTCGCCGGTCGCGCCGCAGCCGCGGACTCCTGCTCCTGCTCCCGGTCGCCGACACCGCCAGCTCCCTCAGCCCCATGACGACCAAATCGAAACCCGCCGTTGTCGATCTCTTCTTAGTCGCTTCGCTGCACGGGCCGTCGGCGGAGCTGAGCCGCGAGCGAGCGAGGCATGAGCGCACGAGTGCGCGACGACCGCGCGAGCCTCTCGTGAGATGCGGAGGCGGCGGCTGGGTAGCAGGGAGTGGGGAGAGGAGCGAATGAACGGTGGATTTTAGGGTTAGGAGTATTTAGCGGGCGGGCTTCTGGGCGCGATGTGGCCCAATTTTCAGGCGGGCTTAATTCAAATTTCCGAAAATTTTGGGCGGTATGTGAATTTAAGTCTATATATATAATCTTGTATAAGTAAGATTATATTTACATTATTTGCATAATTAAATATATGAACTCAAGTTTATAAGATCATGCAATGTATATGGGTCTAGTGGGCCAGTGGGCGCATAATACAATAGTCCTAGAATATTATTTTCAGTTCACAGATTTTGAGATTTAAAGTTTCCAAAGAACCTTAGATATTTACATGATCTATACCAAAGTTGTTCTTCTTCATAAGATTTAAGACTTTATAGTTGAACTTTTTCATTTAAATTTATTGAGTAGTCAAATATTATGCCTTTATTATTTTTCTACTACTCTCGCCGAAACATGGAAGTGGCGCGCAACACAAATATTTTTGTACCGGTTTGCATTCATGAAAGCGAGGGCTCGATCTGGAAGTGGAAGAAAGGGACGGGTCGGTATAGGTAGGGTTTCCAAAAGAGACTGTCCGGTGGGCCATGAAAAATGTTTTGTGCGCAAGCGGGCTGGGCCAACGCGCCAAAGTGAAAACCGGCTATAGCGACAGATAGTTGGAATTTTGCAAATTTAAATCATAAAATATTCAGGATCCATACTTTAAGAATAGGAAGATACATAGATCCATCCCCCTACCACATTCGCTTACAACATTTCAGAGCGTGTTTAGTTTCCACTCCAAAATCCAAAAAAGTGTTATAGTACCCATTACATCAAATCTTGCGATACATGCATGGAGCATTAAATGTAGACGAAAAAAAACTAATTGTACAATTTGGTTGGAAATTGCGAGACGAACGTTTTGAGCATAATTAGTCCATGATTGAAGACTATTTACCAAATAAAAACGAAAGTACTACAGTAACCCAAATTTCCAAATTTGGACAACTAAACACGCTCTCAGTGCATCGAGTTCAGTCCAGTGAAACGTACGTAGTAGTCCTTTTTATTTCAACTTGCAATAAGAGTATTTTATTTGATGCAGGTAACGAACCTCTACCTCCCAAAACTAATAAAGTACTAGCACAGAAATAAACTGTACTCCCGGTTTGAAAACCCCTTCAGTCCCGGTTTCTCAACCGGGAGCATGAATCTGGGACTAAAGGGCCTCTCCTTTAGTCCTGGTTTCTAGTCCGAGACTAAAGGTCCACCTTTAGTCCCGGTTGGTAATACCGGTTGGTAATACCAACCGGGGCTAAAGAGGCCTCCCGTCCTGATGACGTAGGCCGACCCTTTGGTCGCGGTTGGTATTACCGACCGGGACTAAAGGTTTTTTTTCTTTTTTTTTATTTTCAATTGATGATTCGTTTTGGTTTTCGAATACGCATTCTACGTCTACCAGATGCAAGAGAACCAAATTGAGGACACCCCGCAACAGATCGAGATCAAAACAAGAGCACAGATCTAATCAAACTGAACAAATCCAAACCACCACAGACAACTAGATTGAGACCAAATCGAAACCACCATGAACAACTAGACCAAATCGAATAGAAACATACTGAGTCATAAATCAAGGAAGCATAAAGGTGGGCACAAATCAAATATGAGCAGAGACCAAATTACAAATTTCTAGATTCCCTAATAGACGAGCACGCGGAGGTGTCGAGCTTGGCCAACTGCTTGACACTGCGGGGACCTTGTCTGCGTCGGACCGGAGCACGCCTGGTGCCCTGCCGAGCCACCGCCGGGCTGCCGCGTGCGAGCAGCTGCAAGCCTGCCACCGTCTGGCCGCCGCGTGCGAGCCGTTGTCACATATACATATACATCTATCATCAGCTTTCATTCTGCAAAAAAAAGGAGATGCATGTCACATATACATATATATGTCTGTGAGCCAAGCAAGTCAACCAAGAGAGGAAAATAGTAAGCGTTAGCCTAAAAATGTCCACAGATAGATCGGCTTACATGCCACGTAACAGCACAGGCAGCAGCTAGCAGATCTGGGGCATGCACACGCAAGGGCTCCCAGGCCAAGAACCTGGAGAGGAGGAAGCCGGCTAGGCTGCGAGATCTGAGACAGGCGATCTGTACCTTTGATCCCCGCCAGTGATGCCTTCTTCCAAAGATTGTCGGTGATATCGCATGAGGAAAGAAGCTGTGGAGACGAGCGCTCCGTGCACGCACGCAGCTGGGTAGCTAGACACTACTAGAGAACAGACTTTAGAACGATGTCCCAATTTAGCATTAGCCTCGGCATTTTTTTGTCCCCGGGACTAAAGGACCTTTAGTCCCGGTTGGTAATACCAACCGGGACTAAAGGTTCCTTTACTCCCGGTTGGAGCCACCAACCGGGACTAAAAAGTCCTCCAACCTTTAGTCCCGGTTGGTAATACCAACCCGGACTAAAGGTACACCCTTTAGTCCCGGTTGGTAACACCAACCGGGACTAAAGGTCCCCCGATGGGTTAGTTCAAAAGGAAAATATACCATCCATTGTTAGATGTGTTGTGTAGGTGGGGTGGTGAGCTCCGCGCGAGGCAGTGCATGAGGTCTTGGGTTCGAATCTCACGGAGCGCAGCGGTGGGAGACATTATTTTTTTTAAACTGGGAGAATCTTTAGTCCCGGTTGTAGCAAATCGGGACTAAAGGTCCCCACCTTTAGTCTCGGATTCATAGTCCCGGTTGGGAAACCGGGACAAAAGCCCTTTCCCAACCGGGACAAAAGCCACGTTGTGTAGTAGGAGAAGGCGGGAGAAGGAGCACGGCGAGATCTCGGGGAGGAAGAAGACGCCATGGTTGGAGGGGGAACAACACTGGGGAGGAATGAGTTATTGCGAGCTAGGGAGTGGAGAGCGGATGGATGCAAACGCATTTATTGAGAGAGGGTGCAGCGTTATTGCTCAAGAAGCAGCGAGAAGGGAGACCTTTAGTTCCGGTTGGAGACAGACAGAAACCGGGACTAAAGGTCATTTTCTAATCCCGGACGGAGTCTTCAGCCGGGAGTAGACTTTTACTCCTAGTTGGAGGGATTAACCGGGAGTAAAAGTTAACATTTAGTCCCGGTTGGTAGATCCAACCGGGACTAAAGGTCCCCAGCAGCAAAAGCCTGCCGCAGTAGCCGTTGAGCAGGGACCTTTAGTCCTGGTTGGAGCTACCAACAGGGACTAAAGGTTTCTCTAGTCCCAGACGCGAAAAATACCGGGACTAAAGCCAAATTTTGAAGTGGATCAAAAGTCATTTCTCTACTAGTAGGACTATACATCCTTCACAAATAGTAGCATCACCTACTTAGTTATATAACTATGTGTGAGATATGTGCATTTGTGAACAATATGAAGTACTGCTTTGTTAAAATTATTTAAAACTTTTTATGCAATGGTTATACATCAAAATCATGTTGTCACGCAAGTTTGTAGATTTTTTTAACCAACTTTAGATATTATTATATTTATTATATAGCAATTCAACGAATAATTGAAATAATAACTAAATTTCATTTATTTTCTAATTAAACCTTTTTTAAGGTGGTATAATAATGTACTTGGTCCCTTGCCAAGTTTTATGTTTTTTGAAAAAAAAATATTTGGGTATTATTAAATTTAAGAAATTATTAAATAACTATGAAAACTATATTATAAACTATACAAACACTGTATTCTCTCTTCAAAATTTTCATATGATCTTAAGCACTACCCCAGCTCAGTTCTTTCCCGTCGGTACAGAGTACTCCCCTCGGTCCCCAACCTTCCGTCAGAAACGCTGACTCTTCCCCTACGTTCGCCATATACCGAAGGGAAAGGGTCAGGCACCGTCAGGGGCGCTGCATGCAAGGCCGAAAAATAGAACTCGCGCGCTTCTAGAAAAGGATCGGCCCACGCAGCAGAGACAGAGGCGAAAAGAAAAGCGCGCGGCTGGCAAGCGCACAAGGCGTGCAAGGGGAAATTTCCCCATCCTTATCCTCTCCCCAGTCCCCCAGTCCCATGCGCCCCCCGAGCTTCTCTTCTCCTGTCCTCCCCCCGGATCTGGCTCTTCCTCGGTCCTCACCTTCCGAGGTGGCTCGGGCCTCTGTGCTCTGGACTCGGGCCTCTGGGCGGCACGGGTGGAGCAGCGCTGTGGCAGGCGCGGCCGCGACGGACGGCGCGGGCGTGGCTTCCGGCTCCGCGATGGATGGCGCCCCGTATGAGGGCGCGGGCCGCTGCCGGCTCCGCGGCGGGATGGGCGACGCAAACCTGCAGGTGGGTGTGGAGGACCTAGTGGGTGGTGGCGTGGATGCGGCGTAGGCGCCACATCACAGGCGGCATCCATGTGTCAGTAGTCTGGTGCAGGTGAGCAACCCTTTGCTGCCGTAGTTGCTAGCAATATCAGGCTATCAACGCTGCTTCTCCTCTCCCTACGGTAAGACGTTGCAGACACTTGTTCTTGGTACCTTATAAATCGATCTGGTAGATTTTTTAATTATGCCTTTGCAAATCTGGAATTTTAGATTATTGCAAATCTTGAATTGTTATTTTTTTCATTGCTTTCATTCAGTTACTTGCTGTCAAACTCACCGATAGGCAATAGCTATGAAATCTGCCAATGTAAGAATGATTTGTTACTCTGCTACAGAAATATTTATTTGAAGTGAAAGTAGGGGTAGAGATTTTGTGGGCATGGTACATCTACAAATTCTATTGCATGTATATAGGCTGCAGATGCATCTTGGAACAACCTTGTTTCTCTGAACTACAGCTATTCATGGTCAATAATGAACATGGTGAAGGATTTTATTCTGTTTAGACTT